CAGTATGTCACTAGAATTGCTATTCAGATTTGATGAATGTAGCCTTCACTACAAAAAAGTATATGCAAATGCATTACTGTATAAGGCACACTAACAATTCTCTGGCAACCAGTCACTTGGCATTTTCTGAATAGGCAGTTTACAACACATATCCAGAAGCATAGACAATAAGCATTCTCCATTAAAATTCTGAGCTCACAGTGTAGCACCAAGCACTCAACTCAGTAGCTGGCTGATAAAACTGGATTTCACTGTTACCTCATTAGTTGTCATATCCAGTTTCTCACTGAATGATGAAATCCCAGTCTTCCGCTGGACTGCTGGGAAGAACAAGGCTCGCCACTTGAAGGCCAGATAGACAAAAGAAGCTCAGAGACATTAGAAATCTTCTGTTGTGCATCACCGGGTATAATTTCTCTCTACCTTACAGCTAAGAATGATGCAAGTATCACACCTATTGCTCAGCATATGTATATGTTCTGTTCAAATGTTATACTACATGTGTTGCCGAGAAACAGGGCTGTTTGTTGCAAACCCAAACCAAACTAACATTATCCAAAAAAAACTTCTAAAATTTCTCCATGTCTTAATTTCTCCAAAGAAAGATATTAAACCAAACGAAAAGTATATTAACAAGCTTCAGAATATAACAAACACAAACAAAACATGAACTTTGTGGCTATGGAGCCACATGTATTAATCAAACAAAACCACACGAATACATTTAAAAAAAAACTTAACTGGTATATCCAGATGCAGCCATGTGGGTGTCTTGCCAGTGCAATGAGGAGACAGACAGAGGCTGAGAATAAATAACCGTGAAATGCCAAGGGCCATAACTTGAGAACTGAAGATGAAACTGTGTTGACAGTTCAGTCCCCTGGGTATCATAGTGCCCAAAGTGAAAATAAAGCGATTTTCAAGAGACTTCTCTTAATTTAACTAACCTTCTTTAGACAAGTGAACTTTTTTCTTCAGTTCTTCAATGTGTTTTTCAACAGAGGAGATGTACTCCACATCCAAGCTACTGCAGAGCTTCAGGACATTCTCCTTTGCCTCCTCATCTTGAGTTGCATTATCCACACCTATGGATGCTGTTAGGCCTATAATCTACAAGATTATTCAAAACAAGCATCAGGTATTTATTACTGGCATGATCCCTTTGAAATATAGGAAATAACGGCAGGCATTTATTACTGTCATGATTCCTGTGAAATAATGACAGGTATTTATTACTGTCATGATCCCTGTGAAATATAGGAAACAGGTATTTATTACTGTCATGATCCCTGTGAAATATAGGAAATAATGGCAGGCATTTATTACTGTCATGATTCCTGTGAAATATACAGAATTTATAATGGCAATAATGACATTTATTACTGTCATGATTCCTGTGAAATGATGACAGGCGTGACAGGTATTTATTACTGTCATGATCCCGTGTGGAAATAAGACATGACAGGTAAATTGACAGGTATTTATTACTGTCATGATCCCTGTGAAATATAGGAAATAATGACAGGTATTTATTACTGTCATGATCCCTGTGAAATAATGACAGGTATTTATTACTGTCATGATCCCTGTGAAATAATGACAGGTATTTATTACTGTCATATTTCCTGTGAAATGATGACAGGTATTTATTACTGTCACGATCCTTGTGAAATATAGGAAACAATGGCGGGCATTTATTACTGTCATGATCCCTGTGAAATATAGGAAATAATGGCAGGCATTTATTACTGTCATGATCCCTGTGAAATAATGACAGGTATTTATTACTGTCATGATCCCTGTGAAATATAGGAAATAATGGCAGGCATTTATTACTGTCATGATCCCTGTGAAATAATGACAGGTATTTATTACTGTCATGATCCCTGTGAAATAATGACAGGTATTTATTACTGTCATGATTCCTGTGAAATATAGGAAATAACGGCAGGCATTTATTACTGTCATGATCCCTGTGAAATAATGACAGGTATTTATTACTGTCATGATTCCTGTGAAATATAGGAAATAACGGCAGGCATTTATTACTGTCATGATCCCTGTGAAATAATGGCAGGCATTTATTACTGTCATTATCCCTGTGAAATACAGGAAATAATGGCAGGCGTTTATTACTGTCATTATCCCTGTGAAATACAGGAAATAATGGCAGGCATTTATTACTGTCATGATCCTGGTGAAATATATAATTGCAAGTTAATTATTTTAACACTTCTTATTTTCAACGGCTCATGTGAACAAGGAAAAGATGAGAAGGTCTTGAGAAAGGATAAGTTGTCTTAGCTTGTCCGGATTGAATGTTTGCTGGATTCTATTTTCAGCCTCGGCCATCCAAGAGCAACCTCTTTTTAGGCTCCAGCCTTTTATGTCATCAATAGAATTGGTTAATGTCTCCTGATACTTTTATGTATGCTTTCAGCTGTGTGACTTTGTGTGTGGTGGCCATCATGGGTAAACCCTAGACACACCCCATGGGGTGAGGCAAGATGCTTTTTTGTGCAGCCAGGAACGAGTCTCATAGCCTTATTTTGTAATGTCCAGTCTTTCTAGCTGGCTCTGGTGACAGTGTGGAGGTGCAGACTGTAGTCTATTACACTTGGAAGATGCCCCAATTTCACCAATTCATTCTTTCAACATCAATACTGCCAACCTTATGCCTCTCAGGGGTGTACCAATAATGTGAGAGTCTAGGTTATGTCGGTGTGTTAGGAAATGAGCAGGCAGATAGACAGGCTGGTTCTGCACCACTTGGCAGTGAACTGATGTATGACAAGCTGGATGTTGCAAGAGCCTTTGGGAGTGGGTGAACAGTGCGGAAATATCAGTACGGTCTGAGGAGAACGGCACTGCAGGGAGTTACCAGGGAATCTGGCCAACGCTCAACACTCAAGGGAAGGGTGAGGTGAGATGAATATACAATCAGACAGTTACTGATACTACAGAATTGGATCGTTGCTTGCTGCTGAAGCTGGGGAGGGATGCTTATGTGGTGTCCCCAGTGCTGTGATGTTGACTCTTAATTCTACATATGTGAGTGTTCAAGGAGAACAAAGTCAAGGAGGCTAAAGACTGTTAAGAAGAATTATGAAATGAACAGCTGTAGAAAGAAAGAATGGAAATAATTAACAGGAAGAAAAAAATGTGTACCTGTGGTAATCTGGCATTTATCTGTTGACTTCTGCTCTGTTGACCTCTGCTCTGGGCATTAGGAATATTGTGTTTTCTCTTCAGGTAGTAGTGCATCAGCATGTTGTATGGCTCATCCTTTCGGGTATGATGGCACTCGTCAAACACCAGCAAAGAGAACAGGTCTAGCTGTTCCTGGCCATTTCTGATTAGATGATTTTCCAAGATACGAGGTGTCATCGCGAGCACATCTACATCAGGTATCACATTATTCAGTTGCAAGCTATTTTTATCCTCCCCAGTCAAACTGGCAACCTTGAAATTACATTTATAATATAATATATTACAAAACAATATAATATATTACGATACAATATAATATATTACAACACAATATAATATATTACGACACAATACAATATATTACGACACAATATAATATATTACGACACAATATAATATATTACCATACAATATAATATATTACGATATAATACAATATATTATGATACAATATTAATAAATACAACAAATATAATATAATATAATAAATACAGTATGTGATATGATATGACATCTTCTTTTTTCAGCATTCTGAAACCTTGAGGTTCATTACAGCAGATATCAGCCACCTCTGTTCAGCAATGTGACTGGCTTTCTATTTCCAATTTGCGACTGCAAGTGTTTGTTAATTTAAATCCGTCGCAATTCAAGGCTTAGATATCTGTTATATGATGGATAAGGATTTACAAAGCTGGGGGTGTTGGCTACATACTTATGATACCTCCAACCTCGTACACATATTAAAGTACTAGATCATTTTCAAGGCCCGTAGGTGTATGGGCTATACTGTGCCAGACCTATATTTGACAGACCAATCAGCACTCAGCTGGTGATGTCGCCAGCCTCATTCCAGCCAACTTTAGTTCCCAAGACTTCACCTGGTGCCCATTTTAGATAGGGTCAACCTGGGAACCAAGGTCAATTTTGGAAGAAAAATTGGACTTGATGTAAATTTATACCCGTGATTGCTTGCAGGCAGTGTTTGTACATATTCTATATCATACAATATTATAAAATAGGATATAATATATGTACAAGGTAGTCTCATAACACATACTGCTATTGGTGTTCGAATTTAGATTTTGTAGCCACTGGCATGAGAGGGTGGCTGGTTCCCTTCCTCGCTGCCTTTCGTTCTTAGAAAATTTTTAATGAATGATCAAGACTAAATTTTATCCTCAGCCATCTACTTATTCATCATCATGATCATAAACCACCTTTGCCATTAAGTGTCATGGGGAGGAATAATTTGGGATTTGATGCACTCTTGCTAACACGAGCTACTGTCATGCTATAAAGGCGTAAAGTGTCTTAAATGCTGTCGATTCATATTTTTGGAGGCCCCTTCTTGCTCTTGTGGTTAATCTCTTGAAATGCAGTGCCTGTTATTGTATCTGATGTTGCTGTATTCTAGCAAGGTGGCCAAACCACTTGATCTGATGTTTCTTGATGAATCTAGTACAAGGTATCATCCCCACAACCTGTCTGATAGTTACATTATTCACTCAATCTCGGATGGTTAGGTTGGCTGCTTTTCTCAAGCATCTCATCTCGCAGGTGGTGACTTAGCGTACACGGGCTCTAGAAAGTGGCCATGTTTGGCACTGGTAGCTTAATGTTAGCATGTATACGCTGTTTATAATTTGTCTCTTTGCACTCATAGTTTGAAGTCTTAGTAATGGTGACAATTGTTATATAAGTGCACTTGTTTTCTGACATCTGGTTTCTACTCACTGTTACAGATAAATTCAATAGAGAAACTCATGTCCCTCACTCTGAAAAGAATTTACCTTAAATTGCGGTGGAAGAAATGTCTGAAGAACTTGGTACTGCTGCATGACAAGTGGGACAGTTCTAGCAAAAAACACAACTTTTCTTGGCAATGTTCCTTCTGATTTAAAAAAAAAAAAATTTTTTAAAATAAAATAAAAATAGAACTAAGGTAGAAATTGTAAATACTGGATTCTTTTTGTCCGTGAAATATTTTATTTTGTCAGATGCAAAAGTTTTTGTTTTGATTCCAAATAAAATATCTCATCATCATTAACTTATTTAAAGTGACATAATAATCATTTTATGGGCTCCCAGCTCGACCTAACCTACAACAGGTACTAGGAAATGTCTTGGGAAATAAAGACAGTCAGTATGAAGTTGATCACATCACCAACTGAGTGCTGATTGGTTTATTTAAAAAATGAATCTAGCATTATATTTCAATTGGCTTTGGGCCATGAAAAAGATCCTTGATGTTTTACTCTCACAATAATCAACTAGAAAGACTTCGAAACTTCCACGAGTTCCCTTGCCCTGCATATTTATTTTCATGTCCAAGCTGTCTTCAATGTTCTGTTTTCACCTTCGTATGGATCATCGCTTTACTTTCAGGAACCACAAATTATATTACTGCTTTTTTTTTTTATTAGGGCTATTCCAAAATAAACTCCTGATTGGCTGGTTTTAAAAAAACATTTGCCATAGTGACACCGTTCACTGCTTGCATCATTCAGCAGTCTTTTAGCTCTCTTCTATCTACCATCCTACAGTTACATTTGTTCAATGTTCATGAACTGCGAACAAATAGACATGGTTACTCAATAATAGACTGCACTCAGAATGAGACAACAATGATATAAAGATCAATGGAGAGAAAGAAGTGATGATGACATTCTCTAGAAAAGGAAGAACCACCAATATCAAAACTGATGAACACCAGTTAAAGCAGGTAAAAGATTTTACATATCTTGAGAGCATTTTTTCAGAAAAAGGAAGAATTAATAAAGAAATCCAGCAAAGATACAAAAAAGCCAATCAAGTTTTAGGCCAAATGGCACCACTTCTGAAATGCAATTACTAAAGGAACACTGTTCGAAACAATATTCTTACCAATGCTATGCTATCAATGTCAAACATATACACTGTTTACAGAAAACAGAAGGAAAATAGTCACGACAGAAGTGAAATATTTACATACTATACTAAGTGTGTAGGCTCTGTGGCTAAGTCGATGCGAATGCTTCGTAATGTCGGGGTGCAGGGTTCGATTCCAGCTGCAGGCCATGTGCCTTGCGTTGGTTTTGACAATGGTATCAGGGGGCTGACCGTCCAGGAAGCAATGGCAAACTATTGGACGTAAATTTGCCAAGAGAAACCACACAACAGTCATAGGCTGCTGGGGTTGGTTCTGCAACGTCCTGTAAAGGATACGCAACTAACTAAGTGTAACAAGGAAAGATCAACTTAGGAACTATGAAATCAGGAGGAGAGTCGGCAAAGAACCAATACTGAACTTAGACATTAAATCAAATGGTTTGACCATATAACAAGACTGGCATCAGACAGGGCACTACAGAGAGAAATGTTATAGATACAGTGGTAACAAAGCCAGATGCTGACCACACAGAATATTGACCACAGAAATATCAGAGACACTAAAAAGTACTTGATACGAAACAAATAAAAATGATCGTTCCAGAGATCTCTTCCTATCCTAATGCTGCCAGGCATTCCAGGAGTAGAGGAAAGAAGAAGAAGATTCACTGCCTGTCATGAAAGCTGTGAAATTATTGGTGCCACTGGAATAGCCCTCGTATCTCCCTACAGTGACATGATGTATTCATGCATCAGAAGCAAGATGTGGTCACAGATCTCTGGCAGCAAGGGAAAAGTGCAGAAGCACAAACAGATCATCATAGTGCAATGAGAATTGTGCGGGAGTGATCAAGTGATCTTGATGACACTCAATGCTCAGGGAAAAGTGGAGAAACACAAACAGATCATCATAGTGCAATGAGAATTGTGTGGGAGTGATCAAGTGATCTTGTTGACACTCAATCATCAGTTCTTGTTATGCCAAGTGGCACATGAGGCTTCAGAGAGGACTTTCCATGCTTTCCTGTCCTGTGCAATCTTCAGCGCAGTTTTCCATGTCAAAGATGCCGCACTCAGGTCACTTTCCATCATTGGTCTCCATGTTGTTTTTGGGCGCCCTTGTTTTTTCTTTCCCTCTGGTGTCCATGTAAGAGCTGTTTTGGCAGGTATATCAGAAGTCATTCTCATAACGTGGCCAAGCCAATTCCATCTTCTCTTGGTAATCATAGTGTCTAAAGTTTCTTGGTTTGTGGCTTGAAGTAGTTTAGTGTTTGAGATTGAATCTGGCCAGAAAATTTTGATAATTGTACGTAGACATGTGTGGTGGAAGGTGGACAGCTTGTGAGCATCCTTTCTGGTCATTCTCCAGCATTCCACTCCATAAAGAAGAACTGGCAAAATGATGCTCTTGTAGAGTTGGAGTTTTGTTCCTCTGCAGTAATTGTTGGATTTCCAGATTTACCTCATCCTTCCAAAAGCAGCTCTAGCTTTGTTCAGGCGTGACTGAATGTCTTCCCCTGTCCCTCCCAGTAGGGACACCACACTGCCAAGATATGTGAAATGTTCTACATTTTCAAGTGATTGGTTACTTATGGTCACTGGTTGTTGGTTTGAACTGTTTGTCATGATCTTAGTTTTCTTTGTATTTATTCTCAGTCCCACCATTTCTGCTGTGCAGTTTAGTCTGTTACTTTTCTCTTGTATATGTTCATGTTTATGTGATAGGAGTGCTATATCATCTGCAAAATCGAGGCCCTCAAGCATGGTGAATGGACTCCATCGTATGCCTCTTAATGTCCTGTCTACTGTGTTCTTTAGTATCCAATCAATCACAAGGTTTAAGAGGAGAGATGACCTAACACATCCCTGTCTTACACCTGTCTTTACTGGGAAAGATGTATCGTAATTGTTTATACTGACAATCAATGCTCAGGGAAAAGTACAGAAACACAAACAGATCATCAAAGTGCAATGAGAATTGCGCGGGAGTGATCAAGTGATCTCGCTGACACTCAATGCTCAGGGAAAATGGGTGATTATTCAGACTGCTACTGGTACTATTGGAAGTGAAACTCAGTCCTGGCTGCTGAAGATGGGGACAGAATAGTTATGGGAATATTCCAAGTGCTATGCTCTCGGTTCTTAACTCATCTCAACTAAACTCATACACTGGGAAATTTAAAATGTTCAAAGCTTTTCAGTTTTCAAGAATGACACTGTTTATGTGTGAGCTTTCTTCACTGTCCAGATCATGTAGAACGTCACTTTTCAATACTGTATAATAATACTAATCATACGTAACAGAACCATAGAAACCACAGTTCTGAAATGAACATACCAGGTGGTTTTTGCAGATGAGTGAGGATGACGTGAACTGCCACCAAGGTCTTGCCACATCCTGTCGGAGCACAGATGATTGTATTTATTCCCTTTAGTGCAGCTTCTGCCAACTCTTCCTGGTATTCTCTCAGCTGAATTTTTGGAGTTTCTAGATAAATTCAGCAGGTTGTACTTATATTACTTACTCACTATACAACAATTAAAATGATTAAAAAAGCATAAAATAAACACAATAATATCAATTTACTATAAGGTCATCTAAATACATGAAGTGACATAAGCTGTCTCTTAATTACTGATAAATTGCAGCCACATAATTTTTATTTTAAATTCTACATTTGATAACTACCAAAAGGAAATCAATTACAAGGCAGCAATTTAAAAAAAAAATCAAACATTTGAAACAAACAAAAAAGGCTAACTCAAATGACAGTCATTTATAAAATAAAATAGTGTTTTTCAGACATGTTATGAAAAGGAATAGACTTGAGAATTTGGTAACAACTGACAAGACTGATTGAAAGAGAGCTAGAGGAAGGCTGAGAGATAAATATCTGGATGGTTTGGCTCCATGGATAGGCTGAGACAAGAACACTGATCTAATCCACAATTATTGTGATCTATGTAATGGTGAAACATGACAGCCTACACTTACTGGCAGTGGATATAATGATGATAAAATATTACTGAAGAATAAGTTTATGGGCATAGCAAACGCTTGATCTTCAATGGGATATGTTTAAATAGCTCCATTCCTATCTTTAGACTGAATGATTATGTGTGTATGTGTCTTTAAACTGAATGATTATGTGTGTGTGTGTGTGTGTGTGTGTGTGTGTGTGTGTTTTATACTAAATGATTATGTGTGTATGTGTCTTTAGACTAAATGATTATGTGTGTATGTGTCTTTGGACTGAAAGATTATGTGTGTATGTGTCTTTAGACTAAATGATTATGTGTGTATGTGTCTTTGGACTAAATGATTATGTGTATGTGTCTAAAGACTGAATGATTATGTGTGTATGTGTCTTTGGACTAAATGATTATGTGTGTATGTGTCTTTAGACTAAATGATTATGTGTGTATGTGTCTAAAGACTGAAAGATTATGTGTGTATGTGTCTTTAGACTAAATGATTATGTGTGCATGTGTGTGAGTGTGCATGCATGTTTATGTATAGCAATTATTATACCAACAGTTCCAATCAACAATTCTTACTACCAAAACTAAACACAAGGGACTGAACTGATTAAATTAGTTTATTCACCTTTAGGCTTTGAACCAATGTCTGTAGATGTATCCTCAAAGGCATGCTGTGTGTTCCATGTGTCGTAGAAAACAACAGAGGATGGATCTACATTTGTACTGGCAACCCATGCTTGCACAGCAGGAGACTTTGATTCCTGCTCTGATAGGCAAACCACTTGTTCCAGTCCTGGACATGGATAATAAACAATGTTCAGTAATTTATTTTCATGTAGTAGTTGTAGTTTTTGTATATATAATTTCCTGTTCAACCATCAGGGTTATATTAGGATCTGTGCCACAGTTTGAACATCCCAAAAAAAATAATCTTATGAATTAATATTGAATTCTGTACATATACAGAAAACAACTTTTATTTTTTTTTTCAAACCAAGCATAAGGTGGACCTACTAAATTGCTGTGGGATATATAAAGTCTCGAGCATGGAATGTCTGGTTAGCACGAGGGGCGACCCAACACATACTGACTACCTGGGGACATTCATCTTTCATAGCAAGCAGGCGATACCTGGGTGACCATTTACCTCTTGCATTGAAAACTGTGGTTTTTGATCCCCCTTCTGGCCCCAGAATCCCGACTTTAGGATCTCTTGAGAGGAAGAGTGGGCTCGCCCCTTCATCTTTACCTCATCTGTTACTGCATCCAATTTCCCACTGGAGGTTGAGATCCCAACCTTCCACTAGACTGCTGGGAAGAATAGGGTCCACTAATGTGAAGGTGAGGAAAGCTTCAGCAAAGAGAGGCTAAAAGACATTAAGAGTCTTGTATTGCAAATCACTACTCTATTAGGACCCTGAGGGAGACCTAGAAGAAGTGGACTGATATATACTGACAACTTAAGACCACACAACATCACAGTATTTCAATCATGCCCTGATTCGACTAACTTTTATCTGTTAAACTTTTATGCCTAGAGACACAAAGCAGATACTGACAAAATTAAGAAGATAAGTAATGTTCTATACTATACTTTATAAAATGTTGGCAGGAAAATTTATGTGAGGAATAAGTGAAGTTGAATTAAACAAAAACTTCCCAAAAAGCTTATTTATTGCATCCATATTATACCTTCAAAATTTTTTGCTAAAAATATGTTGGACAAATACAGATTACAGTATTTAAATTGAGTGGGGAGGGGGGAGGGGTCATTTCGAGAGGGGGGGCTGCACATGAAAAAAAATTTAACTTACTTTCATTAATAAAACCATCTGAAAAAACTGATAATTCATCCAAGCGACGCAGAATTTCATTACAAAATTTGTTCATGTCAGCCATGATGCTTCCATTCTTGATGCAGCTGTTGACCTGCTTTGAAATAGCTGGACAGGATATAAATGAAATCATTAAAAAATGGAAGCAAAGAAAGAAACAATCTTCTTACACTAAATTTTGATCAGTAAGGTATGAGTGTGATTTAAATTGTTTATGACAAAATTCTTCTGTTGTTGTCACACTGTTACTGGGCTGTTTGTTTCTCTTGTGCTTCTCAAGTGGCTTGAAAGATGGATATATATTTTTTAAATCTTTCTGCAGATTTTGGCTACACTGTCTACTCATCTCTTCCTTCCTCTTTCTATTGCCTTTTGCCCAGATTTGCTGCTGCATAAGGTCTCACATACAGTTTGGTCTGGCTGCATTTTTACTAGCCAGTCAACCATTTGCTCTTTGTCTTTCCATGTTTTTCAGGCACTGTCTTGTTCCACTTATTTCTCTAGTACCACTATTCATGACTGTCAGTTCTTGTGTTACTGGTGACCTCTTATAGATAAACTGTCAACTGAAAAAGTGGTACACTCTAAAAGCCAAAACATGACAGAATCTCAGTGTTTCTCAGTGTTACTGCTTCTGCCACAAATGATTATCTTTTACAACAAGAATGGGTGTATTTTACACTATTTATGATTAACTGTCAATTCAAAAAGATGTTTATGTTCATCCAGCAAAACATGACAGAATATCAGTATTGCTGCTTCTGTCATGTGTTTTACTGACATATTTCATTGTCGCTGTTTATTACATAAACTGGCAGAGAGGTTTGTCATGTTTGACTCCTCAGATATAAATCTGTGGAATGTCCAAAAGTTTAATCCCATTTGAAGAAGAAAAAGTCAATGTTTTAATGTTACACAAGTGCCTCAGTATTACTTCAGTAACTCAGTCAGTGTCCCAGTATGATGTTATACTCTCCTTGAGTGTTCCAATATTTCAACACATGTGTATAGAATGATACAGAAATGTCTCACATCAACTGTAACAATAACATGTGTAAATAGAAACCTAATGATATCAACTGTGCACAAATAAAGGCATTACGTTCTGATCCATTGTCAGTGACGCACAGTTGACAGACATATCTTTTTTTTTTTTTTAACTGCCTAATTCAAAATAAAAACTGAAAACAGTAACTCCCTTCTCCTCTTCATCCATCTGATTAATGATGTCATCAAGACCTCTAAGGAAAAAACAAGGAAGTACTCAGTAGGGTATTGGAATATGATGTGGCTTCCGGGGTCCCATTGTGGGGAAAACAAGAATAGACCCACTGCCTCCCCAAAAGCATGTCGTAAGAGTAGACTAATTGGGGAGCTTCCTTTGAAGTCGGAGTGTATCTGCCAGAGAGGCAATCGTAATTGACCAGAATGGAGGCATCGAATTGGCTGCTCGAAAAGCAGCAGCTGTGAGACTTGTCCAGGTAATAAAAGGGGATTTCTAAGCTAAAGAGAAATTAGCGGGTTGGGGGGGGGGGGGGGGTAAATGGCTGTATACCATTCTATCTATGTGCCAGTCCTGACATATGGGTACGAGTCATGGACAATGACAAAAGCTCACAGAAGCCAACTTCAGGCCTCAGAAATGAGGTATCTGAGAAAGGTGGTCTAAGTGACAAGACGGGAGAAAGTTCACAATCAGACAATAAGTCACGACCTTAAAACCAAGGCCTTACAAACTCAAGTGGATCAGTTAGTTACGACGGTTTGGACATGTATGCAGAATGGGAGAGAATCGACCACCACGGCAGGCATGGAAGGCTAAGAACCAGGGAATTAGACCACAAGGATTCACTGGGAAGACAACATACAACAGTCCCTGACTGACAGAGCACTGGAATGGAACAAAGCCAAAAAGAAAACTGCTGGTAAAGAAGTTTGGCGATCTCTCTGGCAAACCTCTACACCCCAAGGTAGAAGAGGACTGACTAAGTAAGTAACCCCCCTACTCACAAAAACAGCAAACAATAACCTACATTGATCCTGCTGCTCCATGTTCTCTGTTTTCGGCTGGACCAAATCTGGCTTTATTGAGCTTATAGCTTCAAAGAAAACAAATGGCCAGTTTGCCTTTCCTCTTGTTTTCAATATGCCTTGAAACAACACCTGGCAACATGCATGGGGATCCTTTGCTTCTCTAGCATTTCTGTGAACTTGCTGTTGATTGAATGGATGATCAAAAAATTTAACAGAACAAATTTCCACAGAAAAAAAGTTAGGATTTTTAGCACTTAAATTACATTTACTTTATAACATCCTTGGCACAATAAACAACACATTTATATGTTGGTCTATATGTTTGTAGTTTTCTTTCAGTGTGTAACCTTTTGTGTAACCTTTTGTATCTCTTTGGTCTTCTTTGTCAGTTTTTCAATACCGCCTGCTTGTCCTTCACCTGCCCCTTTTCCCACCCCCATTATGCCTACATCCTCTGATATGAGATCTTCCTTAGAAGTCTCTGTAGAAAAGTGGTCAAACAATTTGCCTTATGCTCTGAAGGTAATGTCTTCGTTTTATGACCTGCATCATCTGGAGTGCAATTTGTAAAGATATTCAATGGGATTGTTGCTAGAGCTACAGAGTCTGTGCTTTGTGTCATGCTCTTGGCAAATGGCTAGAGTTATGATGACCTAGATCAACCCAATGCAAAAAAGTTAATTTTTCTTTAACTTTACGAGATCTTCCTCCATTGCACCTAGTGACAAAGTCAGCTGGCAATGAAATACCTAAAAGCTTTGTTGTAAACAAGACCAAACTAGACCTAACACTTGCCAGACAAAATATTGCTGTTCTGAAAGCTGAACTGGTTATAATGAAATCTGGCTCTCAGCAGACGCTAGTTGCAGACTAGGCTTGTACACTTTTCTAATTTCTGATCCTGCAGATCTTCTTCTTCTAAGCATTCACTAACTGTAAACTTAGGTGAAAAGCTGTGGTTGCTCATCCATTTTGACTCTCATTTTGATCTAGAACTTGGGATTTGCAAGCATATCCATTTCATAGATCTGGCTTATCTGTATGCAGACTGTTGGTTTCTTGCCTCTCAGACGTGATACAATCCGACTTCAAAGGAAATATTTTTAGTTAGTCACCTTGTATGACATATCAGTTGGGGGGGGGGGGGGGGGTTGTTTTCCCCTTAAAACTGGACTCCAGAACCCACATGGGGAAGACCCTGGAGATTCTGCAACACATTTACTGCAGATATGGTACTTTGGAACCAGATCATGAAAACAAGTTCTTTCCAACCTACTCTGATAAGTGCAAGATCTGATCAAGGCTACGATTGAATGTCAATACATCAAGGAAGAAAATACAGTCTTTTAAGCTGATATGATATAGTAAGATTCTCAGAACACAACGGACAAAGAAGAAAGAAAACAATAACATCATGAAAGATCTGAATATCAAGGAAGCACCTTGTCTCGAAAGCTGAAATATTTTTGCCATATCAAGCACCACACGGATTGGAAACAAATTATTTTTTCCTCAAGCATATAGGCATAGTAAGTAGGAAGTAAACTTTGTACTTAAGAGGATTCAGTCAACCAACCTACCAGAGAATAAGGCTTTCAGTTGTTGATAATCTCCAACGTAATTAAACTCTGCAAACCAGGAAGGCTAACCCGGACAACAAAAGTCTGCAGAAGTCAGATGTGTCGGCCAAAAGGTGCAAATATCACAGCCATGATGTAAACAGGCTGAATGGTCATAGACAACGAGGCAGACCAAGATGACAATAGAGAGATAATGTCCAGACAGATCTACAATTACTTGGTGTCACCAACTAGAACCAGAAGACCAACCAGAGAGATGAGTAGAGGCGGGTGATATCTACAGCAATAAACCTCAATGGTTCGGAATGCTGAAGAAGAAGAAGAAGAAAATATAAACGGGCCCACCGTATTTACAACTTCAGATTAATGCAGAAGACGAAGAAAAAGAAACTCGACAGATTCCTATGTTTTTCATGAAACAACTGCGACTTTTTAACCAGATAAGTACAGGCATTTTATCTGATAATTCCTACATTTGCATTTTTGCATCAAAATATAATGTTGTGGCTGAAATGCAAGCATTTTAAAACATAAGATACTGATTTGTCAAAGAAAGCAAACAACAACAATTAACAACTAAAAACTAGACTATGGTGAAAGTTGTAAGATTGTAAACTGAAAATGTTAAACAAAATTTAAATATCCTCACTTTATTGTTAGCAACATTTGAGACCCCCCCCCCCCCCCCCCCCCCCCTCCCGGAGCTTAAATGTTTTACACACAATAGAAGTCTGAGAATCAAGTGGATCACAAAATAAATTGAGTAAATACCTTTGTAATCATTTTCTTGTCCAACATGATATCAAGCACTGTGTGTACATCAGACAGTGACAGCTCGTTGATTAAGCTTCCGTCTAGTAAACTTACAAAATACTTGATCAGGTGTTTCTCATCATCTTTTCCATAATTAACAAGAGAATCCATATATCCTGCCAAAAAAAAAATTTAACTTGGTTTTAAAACTATAAATCTGAAATTCACATTTCGTGGAGGCTTTTAGAAGCTGTTTCTAGCCACTGTGTGTCACATTTTTTTTCTTTATTTATTATCAATTCTTATAATGCCCCCACATACTCCAGTTATACAGGTCATTCTTATAATGCCCCTACATACTCCAGTCATACAGGTCATTCTTATATTGCCCCTACATACTCCAGTCATACAGGTCATTCTTATAATGCTCCTACATACTCCAGTTATACAGGTCATCCTTATAATGCCCCCACATACTCCAGTCATACAGGTCATTCTTATAATGCCCCTACATACTCCAGTCATACAGGTCATTCTTATAATGCTCCTACATACTCCAGTTATACAGGTCATCCTTATAATGCCCCCACATACTCCAGTCATACAGGTCATTCTTATAATGCCCCCACATACTCCAGTCATACAGGTCACTAAAGAGCAACACACATGATGGTCTGACCATCTGAGAATGTCCTGGCAATGACTGCCACAGACAGCCATGTTGAAGAAATATATTGAACACACAGCAAACTGGAAGACTACAGAAAAAATGGAATGAAGGCATCAGGAATAGCCTTGAACAAATGATAAACTTATAACTGTCTTCTTTTTGTGTGTTCACCTATTAACTTATATAACATATTAGAAGGAGCACACAGATGATACTTACATTTCACCCCAAAACTTTGATGAGTTAACTAGAGGAGGAGGAAGAAGAGGAGGAGGAGGAGGAAAAAGGAAGAGAAAATAAGAAATTTCCCTGAGCCAAAAATGTGAAGGTGAGGATGTTTTTCCTTGATTTATCCTGTATGCTTGAAAACAGTTTAGTGAGAACAATCTGGCATGCACAACAAATATTTTAGACAACAGTTTAGTGAGAACAATCTGGCATGCACAACAAATATTTTAGACAACAGTTTAGTGAGAACAATCTGGCATGCACAACAAATATTTTAGACAACAGTTTAGTGAGAAAAATCTGGCATGCACAACAAATATTTTAGACAACAGTTTAGTGAGAACAATCTGGCATGAACAACAAATATTTTAGACAACAGTTTAGTGAGAACAATCTGGCATGCACAACAAATATTTTAGATAACAGTTTAGTGAGAACAATCTGGCTTGCACAACAAATATTTTAGACAACAGTTTAGTGAGAACAATCTGGCATGCACAACAAATATCTTAGACAACAGTTTAGTGAGAACAATCTGGCATGCACAACAAATATCTTAGACAACAGTTTAGTGAGAACAATCTGGCATGCACAACAAATATTTTAGACAACAGTTTGTATCACAAATTATCTTACTCTAAAACAATTTTATGATCCTCGAGTAGAAGGGTTTGATTCCTGTGGTTTAGAAAACACCATTCTCATAGTTTTTGGACAGTGGTATGAGAATCACACTGTGGAAGTAACTGTACCCTACCATGTAAAATTCCCAAAGACAACAATGGTACACAGTATCTAACCTATTTGTGAAGATGGCACATAATTTATTTATTTATTTAGTTTAAAATACCTGCAACATTTTCTGTACAGACATGAGAAACAGCTACCGAACAGAAGATGTGAATGTGTTACCAGAGTCAGAAGTCAGCTCTCTCAGAGTTTTCACAAACTGAACAACTGATGTGTCTCCATCATCCTCCAGGATCCATCGAAACAGAGCCTCACTTTCACTGTCTCCTGCAGAATCAGCTTCCATAAATTCATCTTGATGTTCACCTATAAAAATTGGAAGCGGCTTAGACATCTTACAAAAGTGTTGTTTGTTAATAAGAAAGAGACACCTGATGCAGATGTTAATTATGACTGTAACTCATGACTCCTTATAAAACTCTAAAAGACAAGGTCTTGTCCCCTTGGTGACATGTTCATTTGTTTTTTTCAGACTCTGTGATTGTTAATACTGGTCCGGTACCGAGCAGAGGCGATGTTAATAACACCATGCCTAGCACTTGCCAGAAAGATGAATACGGCAATGAGCATGACTTTGTATTCCTGTCTAGGCTGATCAACATGGTAGTGCAATCTGGAGCTGCAAGAAATGAACATTTCACCAAGGGAACAACACAGCTGATTAACCAACACAGAACAGGCATCATCAGTCATTTTACGCTTGTGGAGCTTCTGAGGAGAAGATCAGAGCACCTAAAGATCTGTCCAGAGTGCGGTGATTATAATCCTCAGTAATCATTAATCACTGAAAGAAAATGGGCCAAAATAATACCAGGCAGAGACAGGCAGACAGAGACAGGCAGACAGAGACAGGCAGACAGAGACAGGCACAGAGACAGGCAGATAGAGACAGACAGGCAGACAGAGACAAAGACAGGCACAGAGACAGGCAGACAAAGACAGGCAGACATAGATGCAAACAGAAACAGGCAAACAGAAACAGGCAAACATAGACAGGCAGACAGAGACAGGCAGACAGAGACAGGCAGACAGAGACAGGTGGACAGAGACAGACAGAGACAGGCACAGAGACAGGCAGATAGAGACAGGCGGACAGAGACAGGCAGACAGAGACAGGCAGACAGAGACAGACAGAGACAGGCAGACAGAGACAGGCAGACAGCGGGTTACTTTCCTTAACACTAAAGGTATGAAGAGAAACAGGAAAATATCAATGGCAACCTTGGAAAGAAATAGGACTGCATGGGAGACAGATAGACAGAGACAGGCAGACAGAGACAAGCAGGCAGAGACAGGCAGACAGAGATGCAGACAGAGAGAGACAGGCAGACAGAGCAGGCAGACAGAGACAGGCAGACAGAGACAGGCACGCAGAGATGCATACAGAGACAGATAGACAGCGATACAGACAGAGACAGGCACACAGAGACAGGCAGACAGAGACAGGCACGCAGAGATGCATACAGAGACAGGTAGACAGAGACAGGCAGACAGAGACAGGCAGACAGAGACAGGCACACAGAGACAGGTAGACAGAGACAGGCAGACAGAGACAGGCACACAGAGACAGGCACACAGAGATGCATACAGAGACAGGTAGAGGAGCTGCAGACAGAGACAGGCAGACAAAAATACAGACAGAGACAGGTAGACAAAGATGCAGACAGAGACAGGTAGACAAAGATGCAGACAGAGACAGGTAGACAGAGATGCAGACAGAGACAGGCAGACAGAGACAGGCAGGCAGAGACAGGTAGACTGAGACAGGTAGACATAGATGTAGACAGGGAGGCACAAACAGACTGATACACACAGACTCAGAAATCTGACAGTGAGTGTGGTATGAGAGAGTGGGTGTGTGTTGATATGGGTAAGGGACCTAAATGAATAAAAGAACATGCATGAGTATGAGTGAGTTTGTGTGTGAGTGAGTTTGAGTGTGAGTGAGTTTGTGTGTGAGTAGGTTGGTATGAGTTAGTGAATAAATTAATGAAGAAACAAATTGGAATTAACTTACTAAACCAGGAGTTGTGGCTGATGATAACATCAGGTCTGAGATACTGTACGCAGGTATCAAACAGGGCAGCAAATACTGTCTTTGCCTCCTCAAGGTCATCTGCCTCCATAGTTACATGCGACTAACACGTGTATCTTTGTCTCCGCACACTGATATGGTTGGCACATAAAACTGTCGAGTGCAGACCAAAAAAAATTTATAAAACCATATTTAAACACAAACTTTAATTATTTTTTTTTAAATTATTTTTTCCCTCAACATTTTGCTGAAGTGCAACCGACATTGGTGGGATATGAGTACAAATCTGGGCAATCCTCCAAACAGGGGTTCTGAATTTGACACTCCTAAATTCTAAACATAAATGTACAGAACAATGTTTTAGAAATTAGGGTCCAGGTAAGGTTTGAAGTTAGTTAATAAGAAAGCAGATATGCCCATGTTATGTAAAACTGATATTAAACAAGACATAAGCTGCAGCTTAACCCTAACCTGGAACCCAACCCTTGCCCTGACCAACTTTATATATGCTATGCATTTATGTTGATAATTCTGAACAACCTTTTGGGGGACTGCTGACATCTGACCCACGATTTAAGTGTTCGTGTGAAAGAGTAAATCATAATTGCTCACACTTCTTGACCTGGCACAAGATGAGACTGGTCAGCTGCAAGTGCTTGCATTTTCTTATCTGTTCAAGTTTGGTAATTTGTATTAAAGAAACCTGCCACACCAATCAAATCGCCTCATAGAAACTCCCCTGGTTGTGGCTGTAGTTCTCTTTCATATTGTTTTATTTCCTGATGAAGAATGATATGAAGACTGGTTCCGTTGTTTCTGTGCATGTCTTGTCCTTTCTCGTTGAGTTTTTTAGTCCCAATATGTGTTGATAAAGCATTATAACAAATAAGCACAGCTGTGCTCTAATATTTCAAAAATAATTAATTATTATATTTGTTTAACACCTTATCATAACATCACATATAATATTGCGTCGCATTAAAATGAAAATTGTAAATTTGTTGGGGCGAGATCTTATGTCAAACAAACAACTACAAACTTTGCCGGACATCCCTGGCTCTAACTAATAAACAAACACGTGAACGATAAATAAAAACAATACCAACGACCTTTTTTTTTATCTTCTGCTGGTGGTGGCCGATAACAAACTGGGACAGGAGGATCACAGATTAGTATGGCTGCTGGAACATGGGATATTTTCATCTGGGACTTTTGACATCAACGAAAGCGAAAGCGAAACCAAAAACCTTGCTCAAAACCACGGCCAGCTCCAGTATATAAATCTGGAGCTGGCCGTGCTCAAAACTAACAATCAGCATACGAATACATACATTCGTTTTTTAATCT